AGTCAACTGACGTTTCACACAGCAACGAACTTCGTTTAAGAAATACTGTTTGCTAATATTGTCACAGTTTTGCTCATTATTTATGCGTAAGTTTCAGACCTCTTAGCAAAGTAGTTTGGTAAGTTTTTGTCGCCCATCTACCTCTGCAACGACGCCAATCTAACGGCATCGCATACAGTACCCAAAAATGAAACTACGTAGGCAGACAATTATCAGAAACATTTATTCCAGGACCAACAATGACTGGTTGTGTGGCATAACGTATTGAAAACCAGATTCAATATGTTAATGACTCTCTGCTCAACTGTATGCCTTATTCATGCTATTTACTGTCAAAACAAGCTGTAATAAACGATATGCCCTAAAATGACAGATAACAAAAGGATTTGCAGTTAAGAGCTTAAAGTACATCCTACTGATCCGCAGAGACAAAAATATATCCAGTCAACTTGTGAAGTATCACGTGATAATTTCGCCGTTAAAATGATATATTCATGGAGAAAGGCTTCCACAGTGATTCAAGAGAAATTAGCGTTCATAATTTAATAGGAAAATCTATTGCAGTTATTTCTGATTAGATGGTAACGAATCAGTAAGTACTTAAAAGTCTGCATACATACCCAGATTGGTTTCCAAACACAAAATTTGATATGATTGGAAGTGTTTGTGATATTTTTCGCTCCTCTAAGAATATGAGTAACTAAGTGACTCCCAATTCATGACCATAGTTTTAACTAACTTGTAGTTTATCTGCCTTTATACCGTTAAGTTAAAATTCATCTTATGGCCTGAAACCAAGAAGTCCGTTTAAACATACTGGATCACTTCATTACGGGAGAATAAAAGTAATGGTTTTACCACACTCCATACCTTGTTAACCTGTTACGAAGATGTTATGCACTGCTTCTTTCTAATTTATTCTGCTATATCCAAACTCAAAATATACTTGGCAACTAAACACTTTGAAATAGTGGAGAATATTTGTAGCTCAGGTGGATGGTCTCGGTTGTATTGTGTTCTCTGAGCTAGGTTGCTTAATCGTGAAGCTTTCATCGTCTTTTTAGACGACATCATCAGCACTAACTTCAGTATGAAGTGACCTGTCAGTATCTCTCCGTGAGTGTTTTAGTAGCTAGCTTTGACGAAGCGGCCTATGATTAGTTGTTTCCTTTGATTGTTGTCATTGACTGTATAGATTTTCCTATTGGCTGTCCCTCTGCTTGGTCTCTGACCTTTCTGTCATTTATCATCTTTCTTATTGGTTGACCAACTAAACTAAGACAGTCTCCTTTGTTTCTTCACCCTTTTGGAAGAACATTCTATTCATCGTATTTAACTACCAGTCTCGACCTGAATCAGGAACATCGTTTTCTTATTACCAATACTAGAGTCTTTCTGCATATTATGTAAGCAAATTTGAATTGCACTCGAAAGAAATGTCTTTCGAATACATATTTAGGAAGAAAAAGCGAACGGCAAATGATCGTATTCTGAAAAGTGTAAGAATGATATCAGTGTTTTTACTTCATGTTTTTTTCAGCAATGAAACCAATAAATGATGATTTGATGTTATAGTTTGCTTCGAGTCTTACAGGGTACAACGTCACTCACTGGAAGACAGGTATATCCATCTATCGAGTCCCAAATAGGACGAAAAATCAGTTCTGGATTCCACTGCTAGCCACCACATATCACTACTGATAAATGATGATATTAGGAAAAGAGAGAAAACGACTGCTATGAAGAAACCTACTTCTTTACGTCGAAACCATTCTCTTAGCTGTACATTCGTGAACACATAATAGAAAGGAGAGAACATTACTGAGTAATTCCTGGCAAAAGGTCAAAATAAGTCCTATGAAAAAGTAGTTACGTAATAAATATGAAAGATAAATTAATGATTACAAAATAAAATACGATTCTACTGTGAAGGGATTATCTATAGTGATCGATTCTCTACAAATGCACAGCTAAGAGAAAATTTTCTTTGAAGTGATCACTTCTGCTCTTTTCCTATGAACAAGTGGCCAATTTACTGTTTTTTGGTAAAAAAGAAACTACTGAAGTTTGTATCTTTATCACAACATCAAAGCAATTTTTTAGAGTAAACAATATTTTCATTTATAAATGTTTTGGTTCATCGATTTGAATATTTAGCGCCGAACGGTAAACTCCGTTTTACGACTGAAACTTAACAAACTATCTTATCCAAGTTCCTATATGTTCAATGAGTCAGTAAATAACTTCATCATGTTCACCATTTCGTAAGCAGATTGAAGATTCTAGCAATCAGGATCGATTCGTCAAAGAAATCTAATGTAAACGAGATTAGATTTCAGACTTATCAAAATAAGTTCGGCGGTATGTCATCAAATATATTTTTTATGATTTTTTACCAAGTACTATTATCTTATCATACATTATTTTAAACAAACTCAGTACATGGGCACCAAGAAAAGTGCTAAACAGAAAAAATATGGCAACACTCTGAGGTGAAAAACGAAAATTTCTAAGGGGAGGGAAGAAAAAAGTCATCAGACAGTTGATTTCATACAATACTCTTCAGAATTCGGTTATTGTCTTTTTTAACAAACAGGAGGAAAAAACCACATGGTCGTCACTGATTTCAATCCTAAACAATTTTTGAAATCATCTGCAGCAGCTAAATTACTTCATTTTTCTGAACACAACACCAACAGTTTGCCAGACTTTCTCGAAAAGCCTAATCAGTTTCATGACTACAGCCTTTCCTCCATCCGTGAAAAGTACCGGTGTTCATTGTTATTTTCTTGACCTAAAGGTGTGGTCACCATTACTAATCATAATTTCAATTGGCGTTTCCTCTTTGATTCCACGAATAATGCACTTATGAAATTCTCAGAACACTGGTCCCATCTTCTGGGCAGTATGCCTTCACTCTCTACAGTTGAACTTTTTTTATATATCAGCTTTTAAATGAAAACTGATACACACGGTTTTCCCACACTAGCAATGAGAATCAAAAGGCTATTTTAGGTGATATTTTGCAGTCCTCCATTCACGTAGTGAATAATCTTCTATGATTGTAAAAACTGATCAAGGTTCACTGGTTCTCACATTCATACCTGCTAATAACGCTTCAACAGCATCAAGGCAATAAATGGTGACAAGAATTTCTGACAACAGACCATACTTTGATTGATAACTTCTATACATGAGTAGATTGCATCTCTTTTTGAATCGAACCGCTTCCTTGTGAACTCATGACATTTAGCAATCACTTTTCAATGTAAATGGATGTCTTGGCTGATGACTCCTGCGTTAATTTTTAAAAAATTGTCTACAGCCCCTACCAACACCTTCCCAGGTTTTCACTTAATCTATGTCTAACACTTCTTTTCTCCTACATCATTTCGTCTATTTTGGTTGCATTTCTAATGGATACAGAAGATCCCGGTGAATTGGAAGTCTTCTGTGAAAAACCAAATCCAGATGTGTGTAATCTTTCCTAGAGATGTGTATGAACTGCTGATTAGACTGAAATAACCTTAGTTCGGGAAAATTATCTTTACTTAAAAGGTTTAACAAAAAGTCCGTTATTCTAAGTTCTGAGAAACTTGGTTTACTTCTAAATTAGCGAACAAAACCACCTGTTTCTACATGTGATCAACCTGAAGGAAATCAATGAAATAGTCGTCCTAGGTGAGTGAATATGAGAAAAGAAATTCTCTAAATACATTTGAGTATTTTTGGCATAACTTTCGCATCCGTATAATGAAAACTATGCTGCAGGACTTATCCATACAGACATCTAACTTAAGAGGAAATTCCTTGACTAAATACAATAACTACCTCGCTTATTTATTAAACTGCATTATTTGTAACCTGTCGGTTACTGACAAAGTCTCTGCATGAACAGAAAATACTTGTTTAGCGACTGCCAGCTTACCAGCGAGATTTCCAACAGCTTATCATCGTACAGCAAGCTCTTGGATGGACAATAGGTTACACATTTTAGACCATAGGTGTCTTCAAAAAATTACTGTCATGTCATGGAATCATAAAGTGAAGAGTATTTCACCTGCTTGAGGTCTTCAAAAGTTTAAAAATCAACAGGCGGAAAAAACTAGTAATATGGCTCAAAACCTGTCACAGACTCATAACTTACTACCATATAAATTCTTCATTTATTTCATTTCATTGCACATTCTTCCTGTTGATTTTCTCCTCTCTACTTTTGTTGATTTTTCCTGCATGCCGTTCAACTGCTACACCATTGTGAGAGATCTTACGGTGTACTTTTTGTCATATAATGAAAACTCATTTGTCAAGTTGTAAACGACCGTAGGTATACGCAAGTTGTTGACTGCTATTTAGTAATCAATGATCAGAAGAGAAAGACACATTCGCTGGCTAATTCAGGAGAGCTGAGCTTATTCATAATGCAGATAAAAACAGTTAAACATACTATAATCAGAGAGTAAATTTGAGAACAAGTCTCGAGGAGATGACACAGTGAACCTGGAATGGCATATTCACCTTCTTCTTTAGATACATAATTTTACAATATCAGAATATTTCAAGGTGATAAGGCTTACCTGATTATCATAAGAAGTCTTGCAGAGAAAGTATAGCATCTCATAGTGAAATGTTTTATTGACTAAGAAATAATGGGAAAAAATCTTTCTGACCAATAAATATTAATTCGAAGAAAAAAACAAATTAGAAAGTTAATATAAGCATGAATTGCACATGAAATATAGAGATTTAGCAAAAATTAACAAACCCATATAAATTCAAGTAAAAAACAGCTAAGATATGATAAAGGAATCCATGAGTACATGTGTATGTGCGTAAGGGAGAAAGCAATAGTGCCAGTGGCTTAAACAGACTTCCATGGAGGCAAGATATTTAATTGAAGTCTGGAGAGTGTAAAGATTAGGTGACACTTCATCCGCATATCAACTCTTTATATGTGGCTAAACAGACATCCTCAAATAAAAGCAGAGAATAAATTCTGATCACATAAACCTTTCACCTCTATAGTATAAACATTGTAATAGAATGCCTAAATCTAAACTAATCTGCAATAAACCACATATTGGAAATTGTAATGGAGCTTTTTCTGATAAGAAATAAATTGTCTTGAACACATCTCCTGAAGTCCACATCAGAACCATCGATATACTAGAATAAGACAAGAAAAACAAAAAAATTAATAATATGTAAAGAAGCACGTGTTATAATCCTGAAAACTTTTATGTTTTTTCTAAAGTTGTTATACCAATTCAACTGGTTGCACCTCAATATAGTAATTTAGACACTCCACTATCGATCGTTGAGACGAGTACAAACTCTTTGACTACATTTTATACTCACTAGTAAAAACAAACAAGCATTCAAACAGAGCTGAATAAATCTGACCTTTGACCGTAAACTTGTCCTAAATATTTTATCATTTTACTTATGTGTTTACAAATGTACAGTTGTAAAAATGAGTCATTGAAAAGCTTATCATCTTCATTGTAACCTTTTTTTGAATTTCAGTTCGCTATAATTCATAAAAACAATGAAGATGCTCAAAATTTCGAAATTTTAAGCTTCTTCATTAACTTTCATCTGTTTATTCGCTCATCCCTATTATGCGTCTTCATCTGCTTCAACATCAGTCTTTTTCCCTTAACTTGTTTTTTGTATCCCGTCATGAAGTGTAGTAACAAACTCCTGTGACAGATTCCACATTGATTAGTCTGTCCATCTTATCAGTGAACTCACATGTTATAACTCAACATGCTGAGTCTACGATCAAGAAGGTGACTTCAGTTTACTACTGTGAATCAACAATCGATAGCCAAATGTTAGGGCAACTAAGGGAGTCATATTACTTCTATTACGTCTAAATACGGTAAGCTTGATGTATGCTTTTTGACTGACGACATAGTTACACAGTGGTACTACGATTACTATCGTCAATATATTTAAGTGTTAGGACTCATTTAGTATTTGCTTTACTGGAAACATGAGATAGGTAGAACATAAGCACCAATAAATGACCCAAATAAAATAATACAACTCTACTTAATAGACACGAAAAAAATAATAAATGGGTTATTAAAACAGTCTTAAGTGAGAATGCAAGGAAGCATTCAGTACTTTGGACTTACTTTTTGATAATAGAGGAAGCCAGAAAACTGCAACACAGTCGCCACTGGTTTTGATTTGAAGTCATATCTGATTGTCTCAAGATACTAGGTTGCATAAACCGTCGAAGAACATCCAGAGATTCGTGAGGAACCAACAGATGCTAATGTAAAACAGCCACCCCTCGTTCCACGGCACCATATACACTGATAACCTCTCCACTTATTTCAACTAGTTCAATGACAAGTCAACAGTCAGTGATATGCCTATTGCCCACCATTTCGAAACCACCGAAGCCTATGTTTCAGTATGACTTCACTCAGTGACTGACAATCTCCACCATGTCCAAACACAGACCACCTCACAATTTCTTATACAGTGTTTCAACTGGATGTGACCATTCCTACGGAAACAACGGTGATCGAAAACGCAGAGACATCTGATATCCTCGACTGGGAGCCGCCCTATCACTTGCATACTTGGTGTTGAAAATCTTTCATCTTATTATAGCCCTTCACCAACAAGATCAAGTACCTCCTTCGGTGTTATTTCCAGAATGCAATCGATAACATAGTTAAAGAGGGTTGGAGAAATCGGATATCCCTGACTGACTCTACTAATGGTTTAAGATAATGAAGGGAATTGATTGAATGCTTTGACTCTACCTGAAGTGTAAAATCACATAGCTTTAAAGATATCAGCAGACGTCGTGGGGACACCTCTATCTAACATGAAATTCCAGACTCCAGCTTTGTATAACGAATCCAAAGCAACCAATATGTCAAGGAATATCACGACCACTGACCGAAACTTTGTATAACTGTGTTTGAACATCTGGCCTAGGGTAAGGAGGTAATCAATGCATCCACGACTTGAATGAAACCCGACATACGTTTTATGGATCAGTCCTTCACCTGTTTTGAAGAGACTGTAAAGTATGACAGTACCTAATATTTTAGACATTACTGGTAGCATACTGATACACCGATGATTATCACACATATTACACAGACCACTTTTAACGACCAGGATAACAACGGATTCATTTCATACCGATAGAACACTCTCTTGTCTGCCAAGTCTTCGCAAACAACGTAGTCATTCTGTAAAATACAGTCTGTTCTGATCTCCAAAAAGACCAGAAATTATGTTTTCTGAGGTGAATGCGCTTCACAATTTGGAATTTCTTACAGAACTCCACTTCGTTAGGTGGATTGGTCTTAAGTGACAATGAAGTAAAAAACATTGAGGTCAATAATGGTAGAACAGCAGGTCAGCTGAACTGTGTTTCAAAGTGTTCTACCCACCGTTTCAGACGTCTAGGAAGTTTACTAACCGACGTTCCACCTACTTTGCAAACCGTCTTACTGACACTATGTTTTTTGTTACTTGCTCAAACGAGTTGAAGTAGCTGCCGATTATTGCCAGACTAAGCTGCTACTTTAATCGGACTCATACTCGAAGTCTCTGACCTGTCATGTAAAGGACAGGCATCCCATTATACTTGCTGCCCGACGCAATATACCGAATAAAGTCAAGAAGTTGAAAGCAGCCCAGGAAAATCAGTTTGTCGGTAGGAGGTTCTTCAAAGCCACAGGTATCTATACTCTCCATTTGAGGTTTGACCGCTAGCCTTGAATCTAGCTTAGTTTGGTATTCTGTAGTAGTACCAAGTGCACCCAATTTTCCTACGCTGGTCAGAAGGATTTATCAACTTTGAAACATCTTAGGCTGTTTTTAGATTTCGCCAGCTAAATCACAGTGATCTTAGTACCGGACGGCCGTTTCACTCGTTCGGGGCTGAGTTCATCAGTAGCATACTAAGCTAGTTCATGACACTTTGTTATCAGAAATCACACCTTATAGTCTTGGCTGAGCGGCTACCAAAGGAAACTCTGTTGACACAGCAGGTGCATAGTTGAAAAACTATTCACTTGTAAGAAATGTCAATGTGGATCATGCAATCGGTAATTCGTTTGCAAAGTGATTATCTTACTTAACAGCATCGCAAAGATTCGATGAATTTATTTTCTGCTTAACTCTCCGATATTGACTTACGAGTACTCATTGTACTACAAACAAGTTTGGCAAGTGTATAATTGCTATTTTACACAGTCTGATGGTTTCTCAAATTATCACTATCCATTTGTTAATCTGATTTAACATAATTTCTCAGCTTTTTTAGCATACTGTTGCGCGACTGAAAGCATAGTTTCCAAATGTGACCAACTCACATATCAGTGACTGAGATCAGTGTTACTTAAGTCAGCTTTAGTCAAATTATCGAATAAAATTGTCACTCTCAGGCAAAATGTAAAAATGACAAATCATATAATCAGTTGTAAGCTTGTTTAGTTGCGTAGCGAATTCATGAGTCATCAAGGTTAGTTTTTATCTATTTCCTCCGTTTGAACCTATGATCACGTGATAAATGACCAGTTATGTAGCAAACTAGAAAAAAGTGGTGGAAGTTAGAATACTTTAATGCAGAATATATATATATATATATATATATATATATATATATATATATATATATATATATATATGCTTCATAGTCAAATCTTTTTTTAAATACTTAATGAAGGTGATGTAAGTTGAAGCAGTGTGATGTGAACACGAAAAGCATTTCAACAGGGCTTCAAATAATCTTCGTTTTATCATTATTCTGTTAAAGTTAAGTTACGTAGTACCAATTATTACTTAACTAGAACCTAAAGCGTTAGGAAATCACGTATCCTGGCTTTCTAAATATCATAAGCACTCTCATACCTTGTATTCCCAAATGAATGCAAATTGCAGTTTCACGACTGATTTGAGTTGGCGTATCGCCTAACAATGGGAAGGGAAGTAATTAAATGCATTGATGACTTCACTAACTTGGGACCTGTGTAACTCAGTGACCGACAAAATCCCTCGACAGATACAAAAAGCGCGGTTGGTTTTCGCCAAATTAAACCATGGAGCCGGTTAGACATTTATTCAGTTACTATTGCTTGAGTATACTACACTCCTGTTCGTTCTGTCCTTTTAAAAGATTGCCCGGCCAATAGCCGCTTCCTTGACGTAGTGGTCTTGCTTGTATATCGCAAATACCCAAAGAGCTATACTGACTGGAACGCTTGCTCCCTTGAGGTCCTACAATGCCATAAACGTCAGCTGGAAGGTGAAAGAACGAAAAGTAGTTATCGTCGTCGTGTAAACTGCTACACTATGATAGGAGTCTGAGGTCGAAGTCGTACTGCTGCTAGCTGGATGGGGTATGACAGCAGTACGGTGTTTCCCTTGGATGACCAGCAGTGCCACGCTGATGCTGCCTTCCCAGCAGGAAGAGGTGAGGGTTAGAAAAAGTTGGCGACCTAAGTGTTTGCAAGAACTGGCGCGGAATCATGCTCCACTTCTGTCCACCCCAAGCAAAATATTATGCCGCATCACCCTGGAGAGACTAAAGGATGCGCTGGATTCAAAACTACGATTAGAACAGGCTGGATTCAGGAAGTACAAATCATGTGCGGACCAAATTGCAAAGCTACACTATGCGTCATCATAGAACAGAGTATAGAATGGCAGTCAACTCTACATCTCAACTTCATCGACTTTGAAAAGGCCTTTGACAACGTCGACCAACAAGTAATTTGGAAACTGCTTCAACACCACGGAATACCACAAACCTTTATCAATCTCATTCAACAACTATATGAAGACGCCACATGCCAAGTAATTCACAATGGGAAGCTCAGCTCAGTGATGCTTTTGAAGTGAAGACAGGAGTGAAACATGGCTGCCTACTACCACCCATGATACTCCTGATTGTAGTGGACTGGATCATGCAAGAAACCGTGAGGAGCGAGAAGAGGGGGAAACGCTAGACTGCGGAAAAGAACCTAGAAGACTTGGATTTCGCCGATGACTTATGTCTGATGTCGCACAAACTTGAGGATCTACAGGTAAAAACTAACAAGTTGACAGAAGAAGCAGCGAAGACAGAACTTTGAGTGAACGTAGAGAGGACAGAGATGATGAAGATACCCAACCAACACCACCAC